GACTAGGGAAAGTATAATGCTCGGTATCAAGTAGTAAGTAAAATAATGAGGATGTTGAGAGCTAATAAATTAAAGTAGAAAAAGGTAACTAGATGAGAATAGATTATAAACCACTTAGAAGAGAAGTAAATTTAAACAAGAGAATGAAAGTGGACTCAACTCATATAAAGAGATACAGAGTAATAATGAAGCCATGCAAGATAATAGTCACCGGAGTAGTCAGGAGTAAAGTATGTGGTTCCTTTTTACATGCAAAGAATTTTGTTGCTATTTACTGTACTCATACCGTAATAAATGTTCTCTGATAATAGTCTGAATTCTTTCTTTGTTTGCTTACTACAATTATTTAATTTGATATTATTTAAATAGAAAAATTACATAAATAAAAGAAGTGTCACGGATGGTGGAAACCATACTGCCATACGTCCATCAATTTCAAACCTTATACTATGTATATACGTACTTAGTATAATCTATGTTAAATTCATGATATATAAATTTAATGAAATCTATATATGGAGTATATCTTAATAGAAAAGTGACTAGACAAGTGGCAATCACCTTACTAGTATTTTGACATCTGTTTTGGATTAAGCTTCGACATAAATTAGGAGTCTAGTGCTACCACATCTAGATAAATTACATAAATTAAAAGAAAAGAAAATCATCATAAATCATACAATTTTCTTTATAAAATTTATTTCAACATACTTAAATTATTTATTTAATATAGTGGTGAGTATTTGCTGATGTAAATATACACTTAACTGATTAGACCGATATTAATAATTCCTTGTATATAACGGCCAACATTAGCAAACGAGAATTCGACGTTCTTGATCTATCCGGTAAAAAATATCTGGAATGGAAAGTTGATGCTTTAGCACATTTAAAGGCTAATGGTCTTGAAGACACCATTGAGGCTGATAATCAATCATCGTTCCAGGACAAAGCGAAAGCTATTATTTTCCTCCGTCACCACCTCCATTAAAGTCTCAAATCTGAATATCTTTTGGTTGATGATCCAAAAGAATTATGGGACAATTTACAGGAGAGGCATCACCACCAGCAAAAGGTACTTTTACCAAAGGCTCAGTACGACTAGATCAATTTAAGATTCCAATACTTTAAATCTATCAGTGACTATAATTCTGCAATGTTTCAAATAACATCTAAATTAAAGTTATGCGGACAAAAAGTCACTAATGCTGATATGTTGGAGAAAACCATTTCTACTATGCATATCTCTAACATTTTGCTTCAACAACAATATAGAGAAAAAGGTTTTAAAAAATACTCTGACCTTATATCAGTTTTACTAGTCGCTGAGCAAAATAATGATCTTTTGATGAAAAACCACAATTTGAGACCCACCGGTTCTAGTCCTTCGATTTATGGTCCATCTGGCCACAATTTAGCCACTGAATCAAATGCAACACACAGTGGCATTCGAAGGAAATTTAAACGTGGGCATTTTAGTGGTCATAATAACAAGCCTCACCGAGGATATAAACAGGTCGACAGACCAAATTACAAGGGCAAGGGCAAACAAAAAGCCTATCAAATAAATCGTCCTCCAAAATCCTCGGGAAACACGACTTGTTATAAGTGTGGCATGTCGGGGCACTGGGCTAATAAATGTCGTACAGCTAAACATTTAGTTGAGTTATTTCAAGCTTTCATGAATCTCAACAAAGCCAAAAATATGGAAGTTAATTATGTCAATGACACAACTCCACCTCTGCCAAAATTTGATGTGTCTGATTTTTTTGCGGATGATGCCATTATGGACGATGCTTTTGCCATAAACCAAAATGTCACAAAATAAAATAGTAGACTCTTATGTTGTATAATGATAGTTTTGTGTACTTTTTCTTTCTTTCTCTTTTATTTTGTTTTTTTTAATAAATGCGTTTAATGTATGCACTCTTATGATCAATAATATGTATAATTTGTGATCAAGCTTATCTTTATTTATATATATCGAAGACATGGATTATCCAAATGACAAAGAGCTATGTCTGAAAGACAGCGCCACAACGCACACCATTTTGAGAAATAAAATATATTTTTCTCAAATGATTTTAGTTGAAGCTAAAGTCAATACCATAACGGGAAAGCATATGTGATGCTCCCTAACGGGACAACAATTATTATAAATGACGCTTTATACTCCAGCAAATCGCGGAGAAATTTATTGAGCTTTAAAGATATGCGTCAAAATGGTTATCACATAGAAACCATGAATGAAAACCAAAAGGAATATCTTTGTCTTACGATAACTAAATCTGACACTACATTTATTTGTGAAAAGATGTCAGCATATTCCTCAGGACTATATTTCACATCTATAAATCCATTCGAAATAAATTTGATTTCTAACACAAAGTTAGATGATCAGAAAACATTCATGTTGTGGCATGACCGTTTAGGTCACCCAGGCCAAGTAATGATGCATAAAATTATTAAGACTTCACTTGAACACCCATTAAAAAATATCAGAGTTCCATTATCAAATGATTTTCCTTGTAGAGAAAATCGTCAAAATGGGAGTAAAACAGGAGGTAATCGCAAAACTAGGACTCATTGTTTTAAATTCTCTAAATAGGAGTAAATATTTGCATTTGGACGGAAATAGCCTCCGGTGTTGTAACATTGCGCAATCATTGCCATCTTCTTCAATTCATCGCAAACATCTCTTCCTCCCATGGATCTGAGCTCGTCATCGACTCTGGCCTCCCATCGCATAGGCAACCAGGTAAGTCCTCTGCTTCTTCCTCTTCCTCTTCTTCTTCTTCAAATTTCTGGTCTTCTTATTTTTTGCTTCTTCTTATTCTTCATCTTCTAATCCTCTTCAATTTTCTGGTCCCCTATTCTCTTCTACTTTTTCTTCTTTGGATTTGAATTTTATTTACTAATTTGGATTTTTTGGATTTGAATTTTACTTCATAAGCAAAATGTCACTTTTATAATCTGAGAATGTCAAAAGTATTACTAGTATTTGAAAAATGTCATGTTTGTAGCAGTACATTTATCAGGATGACAATCTGAAAATGACATATGTTCATAAGATAATGTCATTATCTTGTCATTTATTCATATCAAGTGGCATTCTCATCGGAGGCTGCACAGACTTGAATGACATAAAAGTGTCATTTTTAAAAAAATAACCAGTATATATGACATTCTTGATTAAAAAGTGACACATTCTTCAGAATCATTACTCAGGGCATTTTGAGATTGAAATATATCAAAATTGATAAGAAGAAATTCTAGTTAAGTATATCTTCATTGGAAACTTTCACATTCATGCAATATTTTTTCAAATTTGATTGATAAATTTTTTTAAAAAAGAAAGCAGAGAATCAGGAACAAGGCTACAAGAAGAAGATGAAGATCAGAAGAATTAGAAGAAGAAAAAGAAGAAGAGGGGGAAGAAAAGAAAGAAGAGTACCTGGGAAAGCAGAGAGCAGATGACTACGATGACTGCCGATAAAGCCGTTGATGATGGAGATCGAAGGTGCGATCGGCCAAAGGGAAAGTGGCAGGGGAGAAGTCTGGCGGTTGATGGAGAGTCGATCGATTATTTTTAGAAGAAGGGTAATAAAGTAATCTGGAGTCCTATTTGTGAAATATAAAACTTGTAGTCCTACTTTGGACTTTTAACCATGTTTTAGTCATATTTAGGATAAAAACTTTTCCTTGTAAGGCCTGTTCTCTTGACAAAATTATCATCAGGCATTCTATGACCGACCAAGCAGAACAAAGTGAACATCTTAGAACATGTTATGGAGTATTTTTCTTATTAATTATTACATATAATATTTTTTTTTAGTTTTTGATTCTTAATATTAGAAAGTTAATATTTGATACCACATTTATTTTAACTTTTAATATATTGATATTTTATATCTATGAAATAATTAAATACTCCGTATAATACTTGTATATACACTTTAGTCTCTTGTGTATTGATATTTTAAACAATAATTTACATTTATACTTGTAGTTGCATGACAATGATATTTTATGGTTACATTATTAGTTACTTTTGTTTGTTACCAATAACTCTTAATTACGAAAGAAAAACGTACTCATCTGACCTACCTTAGACAAAATAATCATAGCATTCAACTATTTCAAACAACTAAGCACAAAACATGAAACTTTAGAATATATATATATATATATATATATATATATATATATATATATATATATATATATATATATATATATATATATATCTTTGTTGAAAAATAAAGTGGAATAAGTTATTTTTAATTACCTACTATCAATAAAAATAGCATTTAGTAAAAAAGAACACAAATAAAAACTTAACATCAGGTTACACGGTGTACCGTATACAAACTTATGTCTTTAGTTATTTTATAAAATGATTAATTAAAGAAATAAACACTCTCTAATTCATTGCTTGGACAGACACTAGTTTTTTCTCCCATCTTTAATTTTTTTTGTATTATATTTCCATTAATTTTTTATTAATGTAGGCCATTTTTGTTGTATTATATTTCCATTAATTATTGTTTAATTATTTTTTGTATTATATTTCCATTAGTTATTTTTTCCAATTACTATAATTATTCTGGCAAACCCGTGCGAAATAAACTTAATCGAATAAATGAATATAAATTGCTCTAAATAGAAGCAAAAACGTTTTGAAATTCAAAAATAGGAGTATCATGTTTTTTATTCTTAGAATAGGAGTAATCTGCTAAGTTTGGAAAAAATGTCATGTTTTAAAACCTAGTAATGACAAACTTGGCAGAAATTTACTCTTATTCAAGAAATAAAAAAAATAATACTTCTATTTTGGAATTTAATTTTGTTTTACTCCTATTTAAGAAATTTTCTCATGAATAAATGGGACCTTTTAGTTTGGTTTGACATTTGATTTTAATTCAAAATTGAACAGTTTGAATGGAAGTCATCCTTACCTGCGCCTATATTATACGGAGCATAAAAATAAAAATAAGATGGTGGGAGCCAATCGGAAAAAGAATACGGAGCATGAGAGCATAAAATAGCCACTTTCGATATGCCGTTTAAAAAAGGCTCTAAAATAGTACATCCATCTATCCATCTCCCCAATACGCCACCTTCTTCGTCCTTCTCTATTTTTTTCCCCTCTGTGGTGCATAATAATAATAATAATAATAATAATAATCTGCAAAAAAGTGCAGAAAACCCCTTCCCCGAAACGAATCTTCCTTACCCATTTCCCAGTGCAGAAACCAATCTTGAAACCGAGTTTTCTTAAAGCTCTAATCTTGAAACTGAGATTCTCTTAAAGCTCTCATCTTTACCTTACAATGGTTCACTACCAGAGAAATTTAAAGAAAGGGGTTTGTTATGGTGAGCTTGAAGATGAAGAATCACCTCATCGTCTTGGTTTGGTGTGTGCAAAAATAAGTTATTATTATAACATGAAGAGAGCAAAGCCGAAGTTTCTGTATCTCATCTTTCTTTCTCTCATTTCTTGCTGCTTTATTGTAGCTCCCCAGATCCTGAGTAATTCCGTCTCCCTCTTTCCTTCTCTCTTCCTTTCTTCCTCTTCTTCTTCTTCTTCTTCCCTTTTTCTTGTCTTCTGATTTTAAATCCCTGTCGTTGTAGACTCGTTTGGATTTGAGGGTGAAGTGCTTGCTCATGGAACCGATTCCAACGCTCCCTTGTGTTCTTCTGTCTCCAATGGTGCGTCTTCTTTCTTGTTCGTTTTATTTTCTTGTTTTTTTATAATTTTTTTTTGAATAAGTGTTTGCAGCTGTTTTTGCCTAATTGGACGTATTATTTTTATTCCAAATTTGGGTTTAACTATGTTTGAAGCACAATATGTGACAGGAAAGAAAAGCTAAGACCACGCTTCAATAATACCTTTCCACTTTTTGCACTTCTAATTTGCTGTAAAGTTAGCAGCGCTTTTGGTAATTAATATCCAAATCTTGTTAATTAATCTTTCTTATATTAGAAATAATTTTTTTAATTAGAAATAATTATATTTTTTAGTTAGACAATGTATTTTTCCATAGTTTTCTTCTTTCACTTTAAACAAGTCACTCTTCCCTTCCTCTACGAAATCAAACAAGTCTTGAAAATTTCAATTGTTTTGAATGGTCTCACGCGCCTAAAACTTTTATTTCAATTGTTTTAGTGGTTTCACGCGCCTAAAACTTTTATTTATGACTAAAAATCACCCACATTTCAAAAGTCACAAAAAGTACTCTGTTTATATAGCCAAAAGTTCTTAGCTGAAAAGTGATAGTAACACCTGACTATCTGAGGGATAATGTAATCCAAACAAGAGGAAAATTAACTGTGATTAGATACCTCAGTTATGTTTTTGTCTAGAAAATTTAAAGAAACTACTGCAAACATTAATGGAACAGTATAATTGCAGGGACAATGTGCTGTGATAGAAGTAGCTTCAGGTCAGATGTATGTGTTATGAAAGGGGACATAAGAACAGATTTTTCTTCATCAAGGATTACCCTTTACACAACCAAGGGTATCAATGAGGCGATTTCTCATGAAAAGATCAAACCTTACACAAGAAAATGGGAAACAAGTGTGATGGACACCATTGATGAACTAGACCTTGTTATCAAGAATCATAAACATCACCATCGTCACAGGAGGTGTGATGTTCATCACACTGTGCCTGCAGTTTTCTTTTCCACGGGAGGGTATACTGGTAATCTTTACCATGAATTCAATGATGGAATACTTCCACTCTTCATCACTTCTCAACATTTCAACAAGAGAGTCGTCTTCGTTATCCTCGAGTATCATAACTGGTGGATCACCAAGTATGGCAACATTCTCTCGCAGCTCTCGGACTATCCAGCCCTCGATTTTCGAGGAGATAACCAAACACATTGCTTTCCGGAAGTCATCGTTGGTTTAAGAATCCATGATGAGCTATCCATTGATTCTTCATTGATGGATGGTAACAAGAACATCATGGATTTCCGGAAGCTTATAGACCGAGCGTACTGGCCTCGGATACAGGGTCTAATGATGGACGAGGAACGTGAAGCTAGAAGTAAAATGGGCAATCCTGCATTTTCGCCCTTGCCAAATGTCTTCTACGGGATGGCACCGAAGTTGGTGATAGTATCTAGAAACGGGTCAAGAACACTAATGAATGAGGAGTTGTTGATTAAAATGGGTGAAGAAATCGGGTTTCGGGTCGAAGTCTTGAGACCAGCTAAGACGACTGAGCTTGCAAAAGTCTATAGGCTTCTTAACTCAAGTGATGTTATGGTTGGAGTACATGGGGCTGCAATGACTCATTTGCTCTTCTTGAAGCCTAAATCTGTCTTTATACAAATAATTCCTTTGGGAACAGATTGGGCAGCAGAGACTTACTATGGGGAACCAGCAAAGAAAATGGGGTTAAAGTACATTGGGTACAAAATCCTTCCTAAAGAGAGTTCCTTATATGATGAATATGACGAGAATGACCCTGTACTCAAGGACCCTGATAGTGTGAACAGTAAGGGTTGGGAAATAACTAAAAAGATATACCTTGATCACCAAAATGTGAGGTTACACCTTGGGAGATTTCGAAAGAGACTTCTTTATGGCTATTATCATTCCATTGCCATGAGGAAAGGAGGGCCATTTGGTCTTCATCAAAGCCAATAATTCATGTGATCTGAAAAGTGCTAGTCAGACCTGTCCTTGAAGAATATGTATATGGCCCATGAAAGGTGTAAAACACTTGAAACCTGTGTTGTAGAGATCAGATGAAATGCTCTTCTATTTTTTTATTTTGTTATAATGTTATGGTTGGGGTAAAAGTGGTAAACGTTAAAAATACTAATGGACCAAAAAGTATGTGCAACAGTTAATAGCCCATGGAATCTCAAAGCTCTTCGTAATCAGAATGAAATCAAACAGGACCATCACGCAGTTAAAGTGTGTACAAAATACTTCATATCCAATATAAGTCGAGAAATTGGGTAAAGTCTTCACCAGCAATCCAGCATGAGTACCATTTTTTAAATGGAAGTGGTTAAATTTTATTAAATCAAACATTCATTTGCCAAATGACATAGAGATACAGTTCAGATTTACATACGATTTGCGGATCATTTAAAATATTAGACAATAAACCTTGCTTCAAAATGAAGAAGTTGTGACAATATCAAAATATAAGACTCGCCAAAGTCTTTATCTAATATTGTCATAATAGTTTGAGCATCCCTCTCTATAAGAACCTGATCCCATCCTTGATTTTTCACCTATATGTAGTGGTGGACTCGGGCCGGGTGGCCCGACCTAGAACCGGCTCGGGACTGGCACTGTTCTGGACCGACCCGAACCGGTGACCCGGTCAGTGACCGGTCCGGGTAGGCCCGACCCGAGGGGTTTCTGGTCCGGGCTCGGGTCACCCAAAACAAGGTCTAGCCCGGTCGGGCCCGGGCTCGGGCCAAAATGATTTTTGTTTTTATTTTTTTTTTCATTTGTTTGGGCTCGGTTTGGGTTAGGCTTGATGTTTAGGAGGGGTTTGGGGGAGGGTTTGGGGGGGGGGGGGTTAGGGGGGTGGGGTGAGGGGGGTCAGGGATAGGTAGGTAAGCAAAAAAAACAAAAACAAAAAAAACCAAGTCCGAGGCCCGGACCAGACCCGGTGGCTACCCGGGCCGGTCCCGGGTCCACCTATTCAGACCCGCCGGCCCGCCCGGGCCTAGGCCCGACCCAGACCCGGCCCGGCCTGAATCCACCCCTACCTGTATGTGATCGTCTCCCTCACAACACATTAATAAATATCAAAGTTAGGATATGCAAGACTTTCATATATCAAATAAAAATAAAGATCAACATAAAACAATGTCAATCTAAATATATCTGAAACATATACATTTCTTTAATAAATGCAACATGTTGATTTTTGCACTATTCACATATTATACTTTGACTACATTTTATTTGTTAATGTCTTAATAATTTATTTCAAAAAAAATATTGTTAAATTTATCTCATTATAAATTTTTAAAATCTGAACTTTTTATTTATTTTACGTATAGAGAATTAAATATATTAATGGTCAAAGTTGTGCGTCGGCAACGTGAAAAGTTGACTGTTGCATTTATTTAAGAACGGATGTAGTATTATTTTTAATTAGTCATACCAATTTTAATTTATCACATTTATGGGTTTAACCATGAGAAAAACGGAAACTAAATAAGTTGGTTTGAATCTTGAACAAGTGAATTACATCATTTAAAAAAGTGTTGATGTGAGTTTAATCAGAATCTCCACTTTTCCATCTCCTACAATAGCATATGAGGAAAAAAGACTTTTGTGTTCACAAATGCATTTGGTAGTCCCACAATCTATTAGTCATACATTCACTACATAAGTCACTTATAAAATTTGATAAACAACCACAAGAGTTATATCACTAGTGCCAATAAAGTTTACACTTTGTTTTGGTGGATTGTAATTATTTTCCATAATTATCGTTTTCTCAAAAAAGAAAGAATGACATTTCTTTTAATTCAAGGCATATATAACTAGGCTCATTATAATGTTTACCTCATGTTTAGAGTGATAAGAGAGTAGCCATATGTTTAAAGGCATCACTTGCCCTTAAAGGAAGTACCGTGCACTATTCAATATGTATTCACCATAATTTCTAAGATTGTTGACTTTACCGCTCCAAAATAAGTATGTTGACCATATGAATCCATACTTGACCTACTAAACAGACCTCCAAAATATCTTAAAATGGATCATAGTAGTTGGATAAACACTACTTACTGTTTTAAGGAATTATTTCCGGGGTAACGAAATTCCACACGGGTGGGTACCACGCACCATACTCAGAACCCAATCGTACGCGACCAAATGCATAGCGGCTACGACATACGTGGTAAGTGAAATTCCATGTTGTACCGCACGAGACTTCCATCCTTACAATGGTAGAAGGAGAGACAATCATGAAGGGGTGGTTAATTCCTATAGTGGCTAAGCATGGAGAAGACTCGTGGATTACGAGGGAATTCGTGAGTACTCTTTTGGTAGGTAAACAGAAGAAGCGACGAGTGTGGGAAGATAAATGAAGGCATTTAAGCTAAGATAATATAAGGTCGGTGAAACAGGGCATCTTCATCCATGAGTTTATTTGTGGATCATTTTGATAACGTGGATGATATTTTTGAAGATCATTGTTGAGAAGTTAGGATTATTTGAATTGATTATTTTGAAGAAAAACCTGGTCTAAAAATTTAAAACATGGATTACCAGAGATTATTTAGCTTTCTTTTAATGTCTCGACTCTTGAGAATCGTGAACATAAGTGTTAATCATTTAAATCTAGGAAAGCTGCACAACTTAAAAACGACTCTGTATATACGAAATACTACTTATTGAGAATAGGAAAGTTGCAATATCTTGCGTACATTCATTAAATTAAAATAAATTAATATAAAATATATACTTTTGCACACACAAATACGGAGTATATAATATTAACTAGGAAATTGATCGCGCGTTGCGCGAATATTATATGCCCAACACATTTTTCATGATTTTGTAAAATTTTGAGCATTAGTATTTTGAGAACAAATTGATCATGTGTTGCGCGTTGCTTTTAGAGCACAAATTCTAAAAACAACACGCAAATTCTAGAGCACAAATTCTACATAATTTTTATTTTATTGGGTTTTTAAATATACAATTATTTTGAGAACAAAATGTATGTATTATGTATGAGTTTATTTATGAATAAGAAGGGAGTATCATGAATATAAACAACTACTGAAGGTGTTATTTGTAGCTCATGTTTAACATTTTTGCTTAAAATTGCGGAATCTGTATGATTTCTTTTGGAGATTCACGCTGATTTTTAGTCTTTACAGTTAAAATGAGCATAATACAATTCATACACAATAGATCAACAAATACATAAAAAGTCTAGCTCTAAAGTTCTGTCTCTACAAATAATTGGAGTAACAAACACCTAATATGATTAAACTCTTAAATAAGACATATACATACACTCCCAAAGTCATAGTTCTTGACAAGATTATTCAATTTAAATTATTTGGTCTGCGATCTCACATGTAGCACTATTCTATTCGGGCATATAGACAAACTTGTAGTGAGTTTGATTTTTATTTAAAAAACTTGTAATGTTTTTTATTTTGTTTTCAAATTGAAGAAAACAAACTACTTTCAGGTGAGCAATTTGTACCAAATTGATGAGATGTGTTCAATCCATCTGCCAACAAACATTTACATGAAGTTGAATGAGAGCCCGTTTGGTAAACATAATTTTTTGCTTTTCAAGCTTATCAGCCAACTTTTTCATCAAAACGTAACTTTTGGTTTCGCGCACTGAATTGTGTAATAATAAGAAAAAGTAAGGTTGCAGTTACTTTTCTGACTGTATTGGTTGAAACTACCGTAGAGGATCATTTTAGCTATTTTATCATATAATTTTTCATTTATTTTATTTCTAAAATATATTTAAAATATATTTTTTCACAAATCAGCTGAATAGCCAATACAACCGCTTCAGTGAGAACTTCATAAATTTCAGCAGCATCAGCCGATACAGCAGATTTAGGTGTTACCAAACGGGCCCTGAATCCGGCATTTAATCATTAGCAACTTATAGAAAGACATGACAAAATTACCCCCAAAACCAAACCAATATGAAAGATGGATATTAAAAGGCAAAAACCTCATCATCTTGTCTTCTTCGGCCATATAAGAAGGATTTTAACATCTTAAATGTATGTAAATCAAATAAAGAGAACTCTAGAAGTCGCCATATTAATTAGGGACTTTGGAAGATAATCCACACTCATGAAATGCATACCTATTAGCTTCACCATCTTAAATGTATGAAGCCAAAGTTCAGAAGTGTGCTATTGTGTATTAATTTGCTCAAGGTGTATAACTCAACACCGTTATACAAACAGTATAACACCGTAAGTGATATAACTCAACTGGATAGTAGCAGTACAACCCTAGTGACAAAGTGTACAATATGATAAAGCATGAAAGAGTATTTAATATGAAAACTGTCCTTTATAAGATAGGTTAAGATAAAGACGTATTGCAAGAATTTATTCATTAATCATTAGCGCGAGTGTATAGTGTGTGCACATATTACAGTAATTGTGATTGAGTGTATATTAAAAACGTGTGTATTTTATTTATTTATTTATCTATATATACATTTATGTGTACATGTACTTCCTCCGTTCTTTTTTAGTTGCGACATTCCATTTTTCACGTTTGGCAATGCACAACTTTGACCGTCATTATATTTATATTCTATTAGTAAAAAACTTTGAAAAATCAGATTATGAAACGTTGTAATGAGACAATTCAACAATATTTGTATTTTATTTTATTAACAAACTAAAGGAAAAATTATATGAAAAATAGCTAAAATGATACCTATAATAACTTCAGCCAGAAAAGTAACTCCTACCTTACTTTTTTATTACTATTATTACACTATTCATGGAGAGAAATCAGAAGTTACATGTTTGGTTAAAAAGTCGGCTAATAAGCTTGATATGTCAAAAAACACATTTATCAAAAGGCCTATAGGGGCTGTTTACTTTGGACTTAATGGTCTGAATGAAAACAATGACTTATTCGGTCAGCCATATACTCTTGTTTACTTAAGACTTACTACATATTTTAAAAAATGACTTATTCACTCAGACCATTTTTGACTTAATGGTCCAACCCAAATTCAACTCTCCTTACTGTTCAGACATTCATATTATCACCTCTCTCTTTTTAACCCTCATTCCTCCGCTAACTCTCTTCTTCACTAAACTCTCTACGGCCACCAAGTGAAAGCTGTGCACAATCCATCGCCGGTCGTCTTCGTCCCATTTTGCGCACTCGCGAAGCTAACCAGTGGTGCGGTACTGAATAGTGTGGGTGGATGGCTTGCCTGCGGCCTCAAGGTGGAGGATGATAGCGACGGGAACGACGTAGACGATAAAGAAGAGCAGTAGAAATTTAACCATTAATCTGGTCTGGCTGAAAAAAGTTAAGTATTAATTGAGTGAAGGGTCCAGATATGTTGAATCTTTGTGTGGATGTACTATTTACCTTGCTTCATGATTAGATTATATTTTGGATTTGTATTTGTGAAGCTAGTAGCTCACGATTAGGTGCTTGCAGGCTGAATTTTTGGACCCTGTTTAGGTTTCTTGCTATTCCATTCTTTAATTACGTGGTTTGGAGGCTAAAATTTTGGAGCTACAAGTAGATATATTGGTTGTTCATTTTATATGCAGTTTTTTTATATGCACTTTGTTTGATGATCTTTAGTTTTATACAATTTATTTTGATATGCAGATTGCCAATTGAATTTTTTTTGTATGTAGATTGTTAACTAACATATTGTCGGCTGAAATTTATATGCAGTTTGTTCTTTTCCAGTTCTAGAGCATAGTTTTCTGCGTTTAGTGTGTTATTTGTGCATCTTTTCTGTACAACAAATTTTTCGATCCAAAGAAGCGTGGTGGTTGCTTATTTGTGCTGTTGGAAGAATGGAATGATGAGACAATATCCAACAATGGAGATGGAGAAGTGCATGGTCAAGCAAGGGGAGAATGAATAGATGGAACACAACGAGGCACACGAGCATGCGATATATAACGAATTTACGGGATGAAATGACTGATGAGTTAATAAAAAATGCTTAAATTTATTTTTTTGTAAAATATTTTTTGAATTTATATCATCGTGTTGTAAGCTTATTTGCGTAGTGTATTCATTTTACTATAAATTTTATGTAATTAAAATATAATCAGAATAGCAAAAGTAAACAAACTATATGTTCAGCACATGTACATATTAAAGGGTAAATTGGTATTTTAATATAATTCAAACTACATGTTCAGCACTTAGACTAAGTTTGGCAGACATAAGTCCTTGTCTTCTAGTTGTATGTTTGACATGACAATTTTTAAGAGCTTTTCAAAAATTAAAAGACTTTTTAGAGATGCTACAGGGAGTAGCATCTGAGAAAAGCCTGTGACTTCTAGTACTAATTAATTCTAACAGTTTGTATACCAAACCGAACTAAATCAAACAGTCAGTTTTTTACCAAACAGCTATCACCCTTTCTTTTTAAGGTCTTCTCTGTCATTAAAAGTTAGCAGTTATTAAAAAGCTTATAAAGTATCTTTTCAGCTAGTTGTGCCAAACACCCTAAGGGTCCGTTTGGTTTGGGGTTAAAGTAAACTGTTTGTATTGGGGTTATCTCACTTTGAGGCCGGAATGTGATACCTGGAATGTTAAATACCCATGTTTGGTTCACGGTTTTGGGAAAAAATCGAGAAAGTTACATTCCCGGGAATGTAATATGGAGGGGAATGTTATACCCTTCCATGCATTAGGTTATCTCACATTCACGGGGATGATCTTATTTTCTTTCGAAAATACCATCAATTAATTATCGCTTTTCATTAAATTTCTCTATGTATTCAATTTTTATCACATTTCAATTTTTGTGATTTTATAAAACTTGTAATGTAGTTTCTAAATATGTAAATTTTATTTACTAAAAATAATCTTATTATTGACAGGGATCAATTAATTTTAGATGTTTTTCCTTAAATATTACTAAAATATAAGTTATGGACAAAAATATTACTACGGTTAATATGCATAGTCACTATGATGTAAAGTTGAACACATTCATGGTTTATAAAGTTACTACTATAGTCACTAAGTCATATTTTTTTTCATTACCATCGTTTCGGTTATATATTTGTCACTATTTTTTAATTTTATAGTCAATCGAATATCTAGATTGTGTGACAACATTTTAAGTGGGATGGATGAAATATGTTTATTTAATTATATTTGAATGTCTATTCTTGTTATTTTCATAATTCTTTTTTATTTAATATTTAAATTTTTGAAGGTATTTATGTTATAAGACTTATAGATTATTTAAGTTTTTAATGAGTGGATTCCAAAATTTAATGGCAAAATTGATCATTTTTTCTTTAATTTGAAAACAAGTTTTACGAATAACTTGAACATTTTTTAAATTTAGTTTGTTTGAAATGATAATAAATATATTTAGATTGCTATTTGAACAAAGTTTTTTCATCTTTGTATTGGATCTACAACCTCTTACAATTAAACCCCACTTAAAAATAATTCAATTAGATTTGATTTTATTAATTATTAAGATATTTTAATATTTAAAGGGCATTGAAGTAATCTGCCATATCTGCAATATAATATAATAACCAAATAAATTAATGTCACATTCCGTGAATTTTAACAAAACACAAATGGGAATAAAATAAAGGTTGTTCTCCGTGCACCCCATTTATTACTAGGCGCACCCACTTTCTTTCAAAATTGGACAAATTTGTCCTTGCGTCACTTCCTAACAAATGAAAGAATGGGTAAAATAAATGCTCCTCAATTGCTACGTAATGTGTTATGCGTATGTATATACGAAGTACTACCTCCGTCCCCCTATTATTGTCCCATTACGGTTTACGATGCTTGACTGACGATAAAGCAAACAGATCCCTGTTCGCACTAGAATTTTTTTTAGAAAAAAAAAATTGCATATTCAGAAACTACATTAAAAGTTTTACAAAGTCGCAAAAACCAGAATCAAATTTGATAAAAATTTGATCAATAAAGTAAGAGATTAAGAGTGATTTGTGTTGACCAAATGAATAGGAAATGAGACAATAATAGGGGGACGGAGGGAGTATATGTTATTATGCTCCTCATTCTTCAGTTTATTTTGTTAAATTACATGGATCTAATCGATTTTACCATTTGTATTACTCCTCCATTTCATGTTTTCACTTTCGTTTTTTGGACGGTCTATATAAAGTTTCCATTTTCTATTTTAGAAAACATTTTACTCTTAAGTAACAATTTAAATATATATAAAATATTAAAAATAATATATCTATAAAATCATAGTTATCACCATTAACCCCGTTATATTATATATCTATTAAACATTTTTCTCAAAATATATACTTGAATTACCTTATTCAAATATTGTTTGAATAATTGTGCCGTTTTACAATGGAAACTGTTACACGGGACAAAGGTAGTAGTTAACTTAATTGTTTGTAGAATACAATTGACCTCATTTAAAAAATTAACAATCCTATTTTTTTTAAGTAATTGTAACATGTTAGAATTTTACATTATTCACATGTTCTACTTTATTACAATTACACTTTATTCATTAATGTATAATATTAGAAGTTTATTTTTTGAGAAATAATGTTAAATTCTCCTCATTGTAAATTTTAAAAAATAATATTTTTTTTTAATTTTTTACTAATAAGAAGTAAAATATATTATTAATCACAATTGTGTGTTGACAGGTGTGAAAGTTAAACTATTGCAACTAATAAAGAACGGGGGATAGTACTCTGTATATTGTAATTAAAAGATATGGAGTACTATTCTGTATTGCAAAATATGGACATTGCTAATATTACTTTATTTGTAATTTTTAAATCATAGGATGTACCAAGTTTATTTTACGGATAAATATGTAAAATGCATTTAGAATTTTTTTAACTCGTCTGGTTTCAATTTCATTCCCGAATAGATTTAAAAAATAAGAACATATCAGATTAAACTAAAACTGATCAGGACAAATTAGATCAGACTTTAACTATAATAAAATTCATATCCATCAGTCATGTATCCGATCAGACTTAAACAGATCAGACAAAAATTATTTTTCGTAAAGATTAAATTTGTAACCATTATGTTCTGCTGATAACTTCTTTTATATACTCCCTCCGTTCCTAAATAAACTTCTAAGTTTCCTTTTTCTTCCGTTCCAATTAAAACTTCCACTTTCCCTTTTTGGTAAAGAATTTGTGGTTCACAACATTTCTTACACATTTCTCTCTCCTCTGCACAACTCTCCACCACACAATATCCACTATCTTAAACTTTGTGCCAAATCCATTTGGAAGTTAAAATGGGAACGAAGATAGTATGTAATATAGTGTCATATTAAAGATTAAAAAAGTTATTTAATTTGATACGATTTTCATAAAGATCCAATAACAAATGATAAAGATATGACACTTTACAAATAAAAAAACAATTGTTAAGCACATGGTATATACTATATGGGCGGCGTATTTTGTGTGAAGCATAAGAGCACAAAATTTAAATTGAAGTATATATTCAAAAGGGTAAAATGGTCTACTAGAGTTACATTAAGTAATTATATGGGTGCGCGAAGTAACACCCTAAAATAATGCATGTTTTCCTGATCAAAGTGTATTAATACTAGCTATAATTCTTTTACCATACAATCGTACGCCTTTATCATCGTTATAAGCACAAATTCATTTTAGTGCAAGAAATGCAAGAGGTAGAATTGTGGAAATGCAGAGAGAATCTAGCACCATCGATTTGATCGGAGAGGATCTTCTTCACAACATCCTCTCCCGTCTCCCCGCGTCTTCGTGCGCCTCCGTTGCCTGCGTTAGCCGTTTTTGGAATCACGTTGCCACCCGCCTCCTCTCATCCCCGAAGTTCTCGTCCGCGCTATCTCTCAACCCTTCTCTTCAGGTTTAACCCCTCACCTCATAAAAACCATTTCTCTTTGAACCAAGAGGAAATGCCAAAATTAGACGTTTCTACTTTGTCTCAGGGTGCTGTAAATGAGGTAGTTAACGAGGTCCTATCGCAGCCAATTCGTCCGCAGTTCGCTATTGCTTCAATTGGCCCCAGTTTTAGCTTGAAAGATGCTCATGCACTGGTAAAAAGTTCTCCCTACCTCTATGTATCTGTTTTGCGTAATAAGAACTGAACATTCAAATTTAACATGTTAGACTAATTCGAGCTTAGAGTATAATAGTTATTTAAATCTACCACATCAACATTATAACATACTAATGTATAATTGTTTTCACTTTTTGTGTGTGGATGGCTGTTAAATTCTTACGTCTTTTTCTCCTTTTACCACTTATCTGGCCAAGTTGGGACTTCTAATCTCACATTAGATTCAGTTTATCGATTAGATGGAGATTATCACTATTTAAACTTTGAAGGGGATGCATTGCTTTTCCATTTCCTTCCAGGTGAGATACCTGGCCCCAATTAGCCATATTAATGACTAGAGGGGAGGGAAGTGACAAGAATAGTCTTTCACCTGAGTGAAAACAGTGAGAGTCAAGGACCAAAATTGGGAGTGACTTAAAATTCTGGGATCATTAGTGGAATTAATTATTCAGTTCAAAAATATGTTGTCACGACTAAGGGTTAATGATTTTAAAATGTTTATTATCATGAGGTTGTGCGTGGCAGCATCTGTGAATGGGTTTTATATTCTTAGACCAAAGCTCATTGGTCTATCACTGTATATGTATATTACTCCGTACTCTATAAGGTGTACTAGAAAAGACCTGTTGGATTTTATGAATTTTGTCATTGCAATGAGTTCCTGTATGATAAGAGTGTTTTTTATATTCCAATTCCATATTTTGTAGATTTCTAGAAGTCTGGGCTCCAGAACTCCATTAGTTACTTGCATATCACAAGGAATTATTGGTAGAGATGCACTAACCCACGAGTTTAGAGAGGTTGGTCCAATGACTAAACAATATAGTTTTTGTTTGATTGTTTTGACGTCTGATCACAGAATTAAGGTGGAAATGGCTGAACTTTGTGTAGGTTCAATGGGATATTTTTGATGAAGACGATGACAACGCCGGAGATATCAATATGACTCAGAATGAGAACTTTGGAGTGTTGCTGATTGTTGGTTTCTTTCCAGGATTGAGAGTCAGTTTAATCCCGTTGTTGCAGAATAATCAGGTAATACTATGCTCTAAGAAAATACTTGGTAAAAGATATAGACGCCTCTACCATTGTCTAATTGTGGGCCATTTCTTTCAATTTACATCTGATCGATAGTAATATACATCTTTCGTACTGAAAAAAAGTCATGTTCCTAATCATCGTCTGTAAAAAATGCCATATTTTCATGGCTGAGCTAATTAGTAATTTACTTATCCAAAAAAACTTACAAATAAGTTTAATATTATAAATTTAGTCAAACAAAAAAACAATGAGCAGTTCACATTAACAATCCCACTTTTCACAGCCATTCCAAAATAATCCCAAAGATGTGTAATTCCAGTATAATCTAAAGTAAAAGGGTGTGCTTTCCAAAACACTTCCATAACCTGGTTAACTTATATGGAGTATTTCCCAGTAAAATTACTTGCATGCCACGCATAATCTTTTCAGAATCTTGCTCAAGTCATATGTGCGCCAACGTAATGGACTGATCCATGTCCATTAATCTTCTTGTTAGTACGCGCCTATTAAAATATTCAAAGGCCACGATTCAATGAATCTCAAAGCATCTGTTCTCAAACAATCCAGATTGCAAATGTAAATAATAAAAAAATTCGCAAGGAATTACCAAACCATTTAACCCTTCACAATCCCCAACTCTTTGTTGCAAGCAAAATCTCCCGTAACGCTCTCCATATTCTCGAAAAAAATTCATCTAAGCTGCTTCCCTGTGCCGCATTCCACCTGAGTGTGAACATAAAACTCTAACCTAAATTCCTATGAAACATAAAAGTAGCCCAAATCCCAATAAAGATTCTCCCCTAACAATCAAAACTGCAGCGTCCGTTTCTGTTGCATTAGTCCACAGCAAGTAGTTGTTCAGTTCCAGACTTCCAGAACAAAACGGCTTCATTGTAGGATGGGAAGTTGGAGAAGGAAAAAAGGGCTTGCAGCAACTCTTACATACACTGATACACTGTTCAAGTCGTTTTTGAAAACTTCCCCTTGAAACTTCTATAGGGTAATATGTTCATACTAGACGCTGGGAAGTGACCATTTCGAGATTTGCTTTCCTAGTAGGCTCATGCTTCAGCACTTCAAGCGCTTCCAGCGTCAGATGTAGGAAGATAATGCCTGTCGTGCATATGCATTTGCTTGATTTTTTGTTATATCAACCTTCTAAAGCACAGCTAATCACCTAAGTATATTTTGAGAAGTGTGCCCCTAAATTTTGGATTACATTGGAGTTACGTGTTCTTGGGATTATTTTGACAGGAATGGAAACAGTTGGGATTATTCATGCGATTTTTTCCAGGAATTAATTTTAAAAATATAAGTTTGATTTCGTTAGTATTGGAGCTTTACCTTGGCAAACGTAATAGCCCCTTTGGGAAGGAGGGAGTATTATTTTCTACTTGTTGTATTTAATTGGGTGTGCTTTGAACGGTAGCTCAGAGATGAATCATTTGGCACACTGCAGATAGCTAGAGGCCTTATGCTTGATGAATTTGTGATGAGTATCAGGGAATACACATCTTTGGTTTCTGGTACCACATCTCCACTAGGAATCATAATGTTCTCAGTAAGTTTAAATTTCTAATATCATTTGACCTTTGAATAAACCATCAATTTATTTTAGCTATTGGAGACATTCGTAAGATTCATTTTTTGGAACTCACACGTGCTAACTGTTATGTTAGGACCGGGAAACAGATATGCGTAATGTTGTGATGAAGATGGGTGAGTATTTAATGAAGTAGTACTTCTGTATCTTGAAATTATGGGCAACTGTGATTTCATTGATTTGACAAAGTTCATTTTCCCCCATCACTTTCCCCTGCCAGACATGCTCCTATGATGCACTAGTTTAATTTAGAATATCAACTCCACAATTAGATATGACTATAACAACTAACACAACTCGATCTTATGATATTATCCATGCAATTGGATAAAATCTATAATGATGATGTTGGGTTTTGGGGATGATGTGATCATGTGATTATAAATAAAATAAGACAATTGAGAAAATGTTGTACTCCGTATTTCTAGGCTTATTTTAGATTGTTTCCGCTACATGGTATTTATAGTAGAAAATAGGCTAGTGAAGAGAAAAAGTTTACATAGTAAATAACAATTAAATCTGAATGTGAAGGGGTTCTCTCGAGTGCATGCATCCCTGTTTTGAGAAACTTGGAATTATAGATTATTATTTAACACCCTCACTTAATTTGTAATTCCAATCTCTGTGTTGAATCTTTGAAGCTTTTCTTCAGTGATTGCTTTTGTGAGTGCATCAGCGAGCTGTGCCGTGGTCCTGACATGTTCCAACTTCCAAATAATTTTCTCTCTCTCCGTACCATTGTACAGAAAAATGGAGTTGGTCTATCAACTTTCTGCAATAAGCCTTTCAAAGTTCTTCTTGGCCAAACTGCTTCATGAATGGCTTCATTTGATGCTATATACTCTGCCTCTGTAGATGCGACTGAATTTGTTTCTTTGAACTCCAAGAATTGACTTCGACTCCAAGAAGAAAACATATCCAGATGTGCTCTTTCTGTCGTCTGGACTTCCAGCCCGATCACGGTCCGTGAATTCCAATCAACTCACTGTATTCTTCCTTCAAATATTTGATGCCGAGATTTTCCGTACCTTGAATATAATGAGGAGTCCTTTTCTCGGCTGCAAAATGTGACTTGCTTGAGCTACTCATAAATCTGGAAACTAGACTTACAACATGCAAAATGTCTAGTCTTGGATGTGTAAGATAAATCAGCGACCTTACGAGGCTCCGATAAATGCTCGGATCAAAATTTTCAGCTCCGTCTTCCAACTTTAGTTTTTCATGTAATGCCATGGGTGTTGTAACAGACTTGCAATACTCCATTCTAGTTTTTTTAATGGCATACTTTTTTGAGAAATGAAGATGCTCTTATTTTCTTGCTCTACTTGAATGCCAAATTTTCATCGTAGCAAGATCAATTTTTTCATCATGGATTCTTTGAGCCAATGCCCCATGGCACCATTTGTCCCTGCATATATCAAATCATCAAACATAGACAAATCATAAAAAAACCATTCCACTTTTCATTATGTAGAATGATGGTTCTGAACTTCTGATGGACTTTTCAGAAGTCAATTATGCTGGAAATATGTGTCGATTGTGTTGTTCCAGCATCTTGGTGCTTGTTTTAACCCGTACTGAGCTTTGTGTACTTTGTGTAGTCTGTACAGATTTTTTCTTTTTCTTCAAATCCGTGAGGTTGCGTAACGTACACCTTTGCTTCCAATTCTCCATTTAGAAAAGCTATTTTGACATCAATTTCGAACACTTTCCATTCCAACTGTGCTGCGATAGCCAGAACGATTCTTATCTTTTCCATCTGAGCAACCGCTGCAAAAGTCTTCGTGAAATCTACACCGGGCTGTTGAATATAGACCTTGGGCACGAGTCCTGACTTGTATTTTTGTACGGATCCATCTTCATTGAAATTGGTTCTAAACATCCACTTTAGACCAATCGCCTCTTTTCCTTTTGGCAGATCCACCAGCTTCCATATCCGGTTTTTCAATGCTTTTTATTTCATCCTCCATGTGCATTTCTCCATGCCTTCTCTTTTATGGCCTCTTCAAAGCATTGTGGCTCACATGCAACCAATGCGAATATTATGGCCTCTTCTTGTTGAGATTTACCAATTGATGGATCAATGACGTCTCGGAGGGGGGGGGGGGGGGGGGGGGGGGGCTGTTTGACGACAATAAAGTCATTGTGTGTCTCAAAATAATATTCAATACTCACACTAATATCATAGTATAGTGTATTAAGGATCGTATCCACAGGGAAAGGGATATTTCTATTTTATGAATTACTAACAGAGGGTTAAGATTGTTTTGAACTTTTAAAAATATTTAAACACTAAAATGGAGATTTGGTTTTGCTTATATCAACTTAATGAAATGATCGTCAATCCCGGTTATATCTTTAACTATCTTTCTCTTGAATACTCAATCATGAAGTATTTCCAATTCATCGAGGGTAGTTATTAATAACGAGACACGTTCATTAATAAAACTGACTATCAAGTCAATATAGAACCTGCGCCGTATATTGATCTAATAGTAGCAATAAAACTTAAGATGAAATCGAGTGAGAATGTGAGATTGACAACCTCAACACAAGCGGTTTATTGGTTTAAAGAATATAATTATCCCCTTTAAATTATTAACCATGAGACGCATGCACGGATAATCCAAGTTTACTACCGTTGAAAGGACCAAATGATTAACAAGCGTATTCGTCGATCGATTCTAGTTATAATTAATATCAGTTGATTTATAATTAATATATGAAACAAAATTAGTTGATCCTTTCAATGTTTTCGAAATTGCGCCTTGCGTTCACGAGGCAGTTTTTTTCTATGGCGTATTGCGTAAGCCTCATGGTGCAATGAGGCGTAGAGGTGAGGTGCTAAACCTAATTTCTAGTGAATTTTTGTATAAAAAAAGTTTAAAATAATATGAAAGAAATATAAATCCAAAACAATAAATTTCATAAACAAACCAAAAACAACGCCATAGTCATGTAAATTGTGTGTTCAAACATGACATCATACAAATTATTCATGGTAACAATCTTAACTTATTAGATTGAAGAATAATAGTCATTTAGTGTCTAGTGGTTTGATATGGAAATCAAAAACCACTGACAAAAACCTTATGATTTCCACATATTAAATACTTTATACAAATAATAAATATAGCTTTATCCGATTCATTCCCATCAGCATACTTCGTGTTATTTTTTCAATCGTCAGTTTTTCCTTTCCGCTACACTATGTGAGCTGCCTCTTTATGCCTTCTTTTTTGCAGTAGTCCATGAATGGCTTGAAAATAAATTCCCCTCGATCGGTTCTCAACCACTTTATTGCAAAGTCGCTTTGTTTTTTGACAAATGCTTTAAAGTGCATGAATTTATAGAAGCTTCCAATTTCTACTCAAGGATGTAGACCCACGGCATTCTTGTAAATTCATCAACAAAGAGTAGGAAATACATCTTGTTTCCCAATGGTGGTGTCTTCGCAGGACCACAAATGTTGCCATGCACAATTTCGCGTGGTGCATGTGCTCTCCCTGCTTCTTTTGAAAACAGGAGCAGATGCATTTTTACGTAAATGCATCCTTCACAAACATTTTCATTGCTATTGATATCTGGAAGGCCAACAACCATACCTTTCTGCTTCAGCAATTGCAAACCTCTGAAATTGATGCCCATATCTCATATGCCAAAGATAAGTATCATCCGCGGCTGCGCTCTTTAATGCGACATACAACTCCATTTTGAGGGGAAGAGGTTGTCAGTCGTCATCTGTACTTGATTTACACACTTTTCATTTTTTTTTGTCGAAAATCTCACACCTTCTGTTGTCGAAAACGAACTTGTAGCCTTTTTTATCATTTGTCCAACACTTAAAAGATTTTGTAAATTTTTGGCTGAGAAATGTGTCTCCTTAGCTCTTCTCTTTTACCGTCTTTTTTGTTTACCTCAACAGCCTTTATCTGCATGGTTTGGAACTTTGCATCTCCACCAATAATCTTTGATTGTGCCCTTTCTTTTTACACACAAAACACACTATTTCTACACTTTCTGATTGTTGGTCACTTCTTTTGCCTTTGTTCTGAAAATTTCGGTCTCTACCTCTTCCTGGTGATCGACTGCTAGAACTTCCCGCTTTGTCCTTACATGAAAGGTTTGTTCCAATGGCTGATTATTGTAATTGCTTACTCTCTGCTCTTGTGCTTTCAAAGATCCCATGTACTCGTATTGAATCATTTTGTTTAGATCTTTCGTCTCTGTTATGACTGCAGTGGTGTGCTCGAATTTCTTAGGCAAACTCCTTAGGATTTTGTCCACTACGTTCTTCTCTAGAACTTCTTCCCCTCAACTTCTAATCTGGTCGATGATTTCTGCTGCGAGAAAAATCACATTCCATCTTATTTTTCTTCATTGACAAGCTCTCAAATTGACCCCACAAAATTTGAAGCTTTATGGTAATTACTTTTTCCGAGCCTTGAAATTCTGTTTTCAGAATTTCCCATGCATATGTAGCCTTCTCGATGTCAATATTTATGGGATAGATAGGCCTGCTCACTGCTGGTTCAATAAATCTCAGCGCTGTTGCATTTTTCTTCACATTTTCCATGTAACTTTTCTGCTTCTCCTCTGTCCGGAATTTATCATCTTCTTCTGCGGGTGGTTCTTCGAATCTGTTTTCCACAACATCCCATAATGGTCTCCAGTTGAGAACTCCAATAATCAATGTACCATTGAAGAGTGGGATTTGAGTGTGTGTAGGAAAAGATTGAATTTGAGGACGAGGACATTTTTTCTTCCTTGTTGAAGAAACTTGGCTCTTGATACAAAATTTGTTGGGTTTTGGGATGATGTGATGATAAATAAAATAAGACAACCGAGAAACTTTTGTATTTTCTAGGCTTATTTTAGATTGTTTCCACTACATGGTATGTATAGCTGCAAATAGGCTAGCTGAAGAGACAAAGTTTATATAAAACATACTCCCTCCGTCCCGCTAGAAGGTTCCCGTGAACGGTTTACGATGCTTGACTGACGATAAAGTAACTTAATCCCTGTTCACACTCTGATTATTTTTAGTAAATAAAATTAACATATTCAGAAACTACATTAAAACCGTTGCAAAGCCTGATAAAAAAATGTAAATTTGGTAAAAATTTGATTTAGTAAAAGATTAAAAATGATTTAAGTTGACCATGAGAATAGTGGACGGGAACCTTCTAATGGGACAGAGGGAGTAACAATTAAATCTGAATTTGAAGAGGTTTTCTTTAGTGCATGCATCTTTGTCTTGAGAAACCTAGAATTATTTAACAAATGACGTTAGGAAGTTTGCTACAGGAAAGACATCCATTATAAAACACTTTCACTATGTCTTTCTCCATGATTTCATAGAACCCGCCGCCTCTTAAAAAGTTTTTCGTACTTCCTTTTTTCACCCGTTCCAAAGTTATCTTTTTGTTACCTTTTAAGGAAAGAATTATGCGCTTGATATCCCCCCCCCCCCCCCCCCCCCCCCCTTTTTAAATAAATCTTAATCACAGAATTTCATTTTCTTAATAGCGTACTAAATCAGATTGCAAAAAGCTAAATGGCCGTTCTTTGAGGAATGACGGAGTATTAAATCATTTCAGCCAATTAACTGACAATTTTGGATGAATATTTCAGGTTCTAATGTAATTAGGTTTAATGTAGTAATGCTTCTTTTGTGCTTTGTAGACTATGCATTTTCTACTGAGACAGTAATTGTTGGTGATGGAGGGGGGCAGATTATATACCAAATTGGTAATGTAGTCAACACCATGGGAAGTAAAGATTCTGCCACTGCAACACTAGCTCTTGTATTTGCGAAGGACAGAAACAAGCCTCCAGGTATTTGTTCTCTTACGAACTAAAGTTTAAATTTATCTTCTTACGATACATTTAAGGCTAAAAATTACAAAGAAATAGAATTTCACTTTGCTATCAAACATGAGTGAGACAGGACCCTGTTAAAGCAATTTGAACTTTCCATAATATCTTATTAAATACATGGCATGAAAGATTTCTAAGTACATACTAATATCCTATTGTTTTCCCCAAAAATTACAGAACACAAAGTAATTTTCCAATATACGATAATATAACACTAAGCCACTAACGAAACAGAAGATATAGAGTAAACTGGTACTAGCCAAGTTAATAAATAAAGGAACCTTTGATGAGATATGAAAAGTGTTGAAGTTTTACTCTGCCACATGCTGGGTAGTAATGCATACATGCCAATTGCATTCTATGTAAAGCGTAATTTTTTGAATAACTGTCTTCAATCACCAGGTGTTGGAGAAACTCAATTTCATTTTTTCTTTTCCAATGGTATATGTCCTTTTGAACCTACATTCAAAGTTGCTTCCGTAAGAGAGAGACACATTGACTATTCCACATGGCTAACTGCTAAGCGGTTAACGCATCAAGAGAACTTTGATGGTCAAACTCTCTTAGAGCATGTCAGGCTTAAGGTGAAGTAAAGCCTGCGAATTTTGAATTCATAGTACTATTATAACATATTGGCATGATATAGTTCTCATGGTTCTTTTCATAAGTTTGTTGAAGTAGAGGGCCATAGGTTGTTCTAGGACTGGGCAAAAGACCCGGTCCCGTGGGTCTGTTTCGGATCTGTTTCAAAACTGTCCCGTTAAATTCAGGGCAAACTATTTTCGTCCCGTTCTTGTCCCAAACCGTTCCAAAACAGAACGGGATTGAGACAAGTAAAATATATCCCGTTCCGTCTCGTTGTCCCGGATTCAAAATTGTATGTTGTAGTGGGTTAGTGAGTCTACCATCAATTCAATAAGTAGTCCAAATAATAGTAGTATTCATTTTATTCCACAACCCAAATACCAATGAGTATCATGCATTAGTTGTCTAACATGCAGAACACCTAAAGGAGTCTAAATTATCAAGTATGAATTATCTATTATAAAGAAACTCACTTTTACTCCCACATATTTCACCGCTAATAATATTGTTTTAGCAATTTTTAGTTTTACAAATTTTGTGGTAGTTTTGTGTGTGTTGAAGTTAATGTTGTTATATACAGTTTGTTTTTTGCAACTATCCTATTAATCTACTACTCCCTCCGTCCCCCTAATATTGGGACGGAAGAGAGTGGTGTGATTTTTAAGAAAAGTAGAATTATGTGGTTGATAATGAGTTGATAAAGTGAGAATAAAGTAAGAATGAATTAGAGTCATTTATCAAATATGGTATGAGACAATAATAGAGGGACATCCAAAAATGGAAAAACAGGACAATTTTATGGGGACGGAGGGAGTATTTTTTGGTGTTGCATTTATCACAAATGTCTTAATGTGTTGTATTTTTAGTGTTGTAGTTTTTTGTCATCAAGTTCTTATATGCTATTTTATTTTTGCAAATCGCTTTGATGTGTTTCGGTGTTGCATTTTTTTTCTATGCAGTTTTTTTCTATGCAGTTTTTTTGGGATGTCCCGGACCGTCTTGTTCTATCCCGATAACCGATTTAAAAGGGACCACAGCAGGACGATGTCTTGTCCCGTCCCGTTCCCTTCTGTTATCCTAAAGCGGGTTTTGTACCGGGATAGTCTAATTCCCGTCCCGTCCCATGCCCACCCGGCCACCCCTAGGTTGTTCCAGTAGATTTATTTATTTTTATTTATAATTTTTTCAAATTAAGTGGGACATTCCAATTTCCAAGATGCAGGGAGGCTTGTCATAATGATCTTCTGAGAATATGCGATTCCCTCCTTTTCCTCCTTGTTTATGTATCTACTGCTATTAATCAAACATGCTGTACTATTTGATTGCTCCTTTTTTAATTTTATTTGATTTCATTTCATTTCATTTTATTTTATTTCGACCATCAACATGTTTAAGTAGATTTTAGCAGACAATTTTGTTAATGTGAGATCTAAATGTTTTCTTTGATTCAGTGTTTTGGAGCTAAACAGTTTTCAATCATTTATGGCAAAGTACGGAGTAATTTATAGCCAAAGTATTGAGACTTCGGTCAATCAACAACCTTTTATTTTAGGAGAATTACATAGTATCATCTGACCGCATTTTTTTAATACAAAGACTCACCTAAATATTTTTATAAAAAGCAAGGACAACAGTAGTAAGCATATATTGTTACTGCATAACGAGCCGCCAACTGCTGTGGCTCCTATTGTTGCGGCTCCTATGGTTTTGAATTGCCGCCAATGATGACTGCCAGTTTCCTACTGTATGGCTTTGTCATTAATGTCAACTCCTACTATCCAGCGACAGTGGTTGTTTAACTGTATAACCACCGGCACAACCACAATAACCATCTCTATTTGTAAAATTTATTCCGAGATGTCTAATTTCAATATTAGTGAAGCTAATACTAGTTTCGTAAGGTACATAGTTTCAATAAATTTTACAATGTACAACCGTACAACTCCTAGAAGTCATGAAATCACATTATTTTTTTGAAGTCATTTTATGTCTACTAAACTTGTTTATACTGTTTTTGGAAAATTAAATTCAATGCTAGCTCCTTTCATGAGATTTGATATTTTTCGTGAAAAAGCTTTTGAAACATGAGTATTTTTGGGACGTGGGAGTTCTTTTTAATAGAAGATCATTGTTATACAGTTTGAGTTTCTTGGTTTATTCCATGTCAGGATATATCATCACATTTATTCTTTTGTATTTTTCAATCTGTTGATTGAAGAATATTTGTGCATGTGCATGTCTTAGCAAGCAATCATCTTCCACTTGTAAATTCTGTTGTCCAAAAAAACTGATTATGCAGGCCGGAGATCTTTTTGATCATCAAGCTCTATTTATTGGAGTTACTAAAAAAAGGAAATGCTCTGTTGGGATGGAAAAAGTGAAATGGATCACATTTCAGGAATTTCATGAGGTCTTGAGGTAATCGTTTACATCCATTTGCTTGTTTCTCATTTGACCTTCATTTCTTAATATACAGAAAGTTCCTTGTGCTTGCTTTATCTTACTTAAACCACAGCTCATGGTATTAATGGTGAATTGCACATTATGCAATCCTTCAGTTCTCAAATAAAATGGGGAAATGACACAACCACTAATAAATTTAAAATTTCTGTTTTAGATCCATTTAAGAAGGCAAGAACAAATGTCACCGACATAATTCTTTCATTTAATGAAAGATGAAGTTTATTGTGAGTTGTGACACACCCAAAAAAGAAAATAGCAAAATTTATACTACCTCCGTCTCATAAAATTCTTCCCACTTTGACTTGGCACGGAGATTAAGAAAGTGGAAATGTATGGTTGTGGTTGTGTAAGAAAAAGGTGAAATGAATGTGAACCACACAAATTGTCCAAAATGGTAGGTGGGAAGAATTTTTTGGGACGACCCAAAAAGGAAAGTGAGAAGAATTCTATGGGACGGAGGGAGTATTATTCATGGCTGGCTTGTTTCTATATTTTTTCACAGCCAGAGAAAAAAAGCCATCCATGAAAAAAATTGAGATACTAGTATCAAATAAAGGAACCTGTTTTTTATATAATGTATTTCAGAGGAGACGAGGAGTACTTATATGTGAATGGTCTTGGCATAAAAAATGAAGACGCATTCCGTTTCTACATGTCAGATCCATTTACTGCATTATCTTCTTACAAAAATGTCTCGGAAGAACTTAAATGTTTGAAACATGCGTATGAAGATGACACCAGGAACCACACAAGTCATAAGAAGACCATTTTATGCGGCATTTCTTTTGCTTGTTGTGGTCGTGGTGAGCCGTTCTTCGGACGTGCTCATGTTGATAGCTTGCCTTTCCTGGAAAACTTCCCCGGGGTTCCCTTTGCTGGGACTTTTTGTGCTGGAGAAATTGGTCGCATGGATTTAAGCTCCTCTTGCCATGAAGAGAACTCTTCCACCACTGCACGCTGCTGTTTGCATGTGTTTAGCACTGCCTACCTTGTCGTCTCATACACACCGCCTGCAAACCTACATTTGTGAAGTATATTTGTGTTTTTTTTTACCAAGTACTAGTCGACTGCTCAATTAAACCTTCTCAGCAAACTGTCTTGCCGGTTTTTGGTGGCCCTTGGGTTGGGGTGCATCCTTGTTTTACTAACTCTCCTTTTGTATATTTGCGTGCTTTCTTTACTAATGGTGCCCACTGCCAAGTGTCTTTAGATATGATAACATTTCTTCTTTTTTTACATATCCCAAGAATGGTGCAATGGTGAACCAGGGAATACCCTCCCCCCCCCCCCCCCCCCCCCCCCCCCCCGGGAAGTCCGGATTGAGTACTTGCATCAAATTTTACAAGTGAGACGATTCTTTTGCCTTTATTGAAGGGAATATGTAACTTTAATGTAAGGGTGAAAAACTGATAAGTTATAACAGGACTTTTACTGTCTTTCATATATGTGGACAATTCGGATTATCCAGTTTTTCAATTTAGTCAATATTATTATTATTTTATAATGGTAGCATTATTATTCATTACTCTTTCATTGATGACAATATTATGGAATTTTATCAATTCAGGATCCGAAAGACAGATGAACTATCAATTTGAGACCCGAAAGATGAAATGCATCGGTATATGACCCGAATGATGAAAAACTATCAATCTAGGACTTAACATTTCATAAATTTTGTTTTCTTTAATTTTTTATTGATTCCATTGCTAATTTTCGATAAATTTTTGTCCACAAAAGTTTATTAGTTTAATAAAACTAAACAATATTTAAAAAATTTAAAATTAAAAATAATAATAAAATTCATCACAACTTAGGTCCTTAAATGATAGTTTTCAATCATTCAGGTCCTAAATTGATAGTTTTCCATTATTCAGGTCCTATATCGATAAATTTCATCTTTTAGGTTTTGAATTGATAATTCGTCTATCTTTTTGCTCGATAAAATTTACATTTCGAAAAATTTCATTTAATTAAAATGGTAAGTTTCCTCTCTAGGGACCAGGCAGACATTAGGACTTAGGGAGTTGGGAGTTGGGACTTTGGAGTAGGAATGTAGCCATGTAGGATGATGATCAAGACAATATTTTTACCCTAAGTCCGAATTGACTCATTGAGGTTTGGAAAAGCTCCTTATGAAACGAGTTTTGAAAGTAGTACTTTATTTAATTATTGATTAAATAATCGTGCTATATCGTCTGGTTGGGGTTGAGGGGCCCTCAGGGGTGGAGTGTCATCCTTTTTTTAAAATGTGACGTAAAAATGCTTGTACGTAATACTAAGTTTTAAGTGTTCGAAATTAGGTTAGAAAAAGGTTAATGTCATTAACCTCTCAAGGTTTGTTGTATAACCAACTATCCCTACACTATCAATTTTTTTCTTTCCTCATATCTTTTACTCATCCGTTTCTTTAGAAGGTTCTCACTTTCCTTTTTTGAACGTTCCATATAAAGGTTCTCATTTCTATTTTAAGAAACAATTTACAATCTTAAGTGACAAATTAATCATTAAATATTAAAAATAATACATTTATAACATCACAGTTATCAGTACTAATTACATTATAATTATACCTATTAATTTTTTTTTTCAAAATATGCCCGAAGTACTTTATTTAATTATTGACTAAATAATCGTGCCGTTTTGCTATGAGAACCTTCCAACGGGATGAAGGTAGTAAATAAGATTGAATTGAATAAAATAAAAATTAATCAAAGTTAACCCAATTTTATGTGGTTCAATTATATTAATTTAGCTCAAAAAATGAAAAATTGTCTGAATTGATAAAAGGTAATCAAAATATGATGAAATTGATTGAAATCGATATAAATAATTTAAAATTGGCGAAATTCATAAAATAACCATACTTTTAGGGATTCTACAATAATAATCTCTACTGAAACTATCTATAACAATAATCTTAACTAGTAATAGTGTCTACAAGAATAAATTGAGGTTAATTCAAAATGATGTCCTTTTAATACTATCAATCCCTACTCTAACTTTTCTCTTCAATGCTCTTCTTATTGAAGTGAATTAAAATTAAAACCCATTTAATTTTAATGTCATTTCCGCCATATGTGGTTCTGTCTAGGATAGAAGATAGATGTGTTACCCGAAAAGAAAAGTGGTGAAGGGAAAGTAGAGGTAAGATTTGGGAAAATTAAATGAGAAATAATTTTAATTTACCTCAATTTATTCTTGAGGATACTATTGCTAGTTCGGATTGTTTTTATGAATACTCTCGGTAGGGATTATTATTGTAGAATCCCTAAAAATAGAGATTATTTTTGTGAATTTCGCCTTTAAAATTTATCGAAAGAAACTCAAGCAGTGCATATCGATTCTCAGTCTCACTATTTTCAAAGTCAATTTTAAAAATAAAACCGACCTTAAAATTTATCGAAAGAAACTCAAGCAGTGCATATCGATTCTCAGTCTCACTATTTTCAAAGTCAATTTTAAAAATAAAACCGACCACCACCCATTACTTTCACTTTAGAGACAATTTGAAAATTAGCATTTCACGGACAAATTTAAAATATACAGCAGTCTCTTAAAAACCATCCACCAAAATACAGAGTATATTTTATACACGAAAGTATTATGGTTTAAAAATGTTTATACATGAAAGTACTATGGCTTAAAAACGTTTTTAGTCCTCGCAAATATGACACACTTTGTTTCGGGTCCCTACAAAATGTTTTTTTGGTTTTTCATTCCTGTAATATGTCCTATTTTGTTTTTAGTCCTTCTCTAATTCCAAAACCACTCTACTTAGAAAAAACATTATTGTCAATTACATAAATCTACTAGAAATATTTAAATTTATCCTTTTATAGTTTTTTTAATGCTAATATGAGAGCTAAAATAATGTAAAACTAAGTATTCATATTTTTAAAATATATATTAAAAGCCTTTGAAAAAATAAAATTAAATACTTTTTTAATAACATGACAAAGAATTAGAGGAAATCTATCAGTCGAGATTAGTTTCAGATCAAATGAATGTTGATATCATCGGTGATGGACTAAAAAGAAAACTAACGTATATTGCAGGGACTAAAAACAAAAAATATTTTTGCAGGGATGTAAAACAAAATATTCTACATTTACGGGGACTAAAAATATATTTAAACCAAGTATTATTCCAAGAGTTTATCAATAAATTTCAGTCATGAAGTTGTCCTTAAAATTACGAGTAAGTATTATTAGTGTAGGTTTTACTATATTCGTATGATGACATTATTCTAAGCAATTGCTCAAAAGATTGGGAATTTAATGCGTATGAAAAATCTTTTCTTACAATCCTACGTATCAATGCAAAAACAAAGCAGATTCACAATTGGGCTAGAGCCCAGTCAGAACCTCACCATATGATTCATATACTTCCCAAATCCTCCAATGTCTTATTTTTGTTATGCCAAAAGTAGACATCTTAAATGTGGAAAGAAAATTTGCAAAATCAGGTATGTAATTTCTCCAAGTGGTAATAATGCTATTTATAATGACAATTATTTTAATTATTATCATTCTAATCTCAGACAATTAAGGAAGAACCAGCAATGACATACCATTTATGGTAATTTTCTAAAATGAGGTAAAATCCCACAGCAAAAGGCAAAATGAAAATTTCCACATGTTGAGGTGAGAGCCTGAGAGGCCTTCCTTCATTATTTCCTTTCTATTCTTTTTCTTCCAAATGGAGTTTCACTTTCCTCTAATGTCACCCAAAGATGGCAAAAACTTCAGCTTATTAACCCCCTCCCCACCCATAAAAATAAAGTCAGAGAAGAGAGAACTAAAGAAATGGGGAGAGGGAAGATAGAGATAAAGAAGATAGAGAACCTAAACAACAGACAGGTGACCTTTTCTAAAAGAAGGGCAGGACTGCTTAAGAAGGCTAAGGAGCTCTCCATTCTCTGTGATGCTCAGGTTGCTGTCATTGTTATCTCCACCACTGGCAGGCTCTATGAGTATTCCAGTTCAAGGTTTTCTTCTCTCACCTTTTATCCAACACTGTTTTCCTTTAGGGCTTGTTTGGTGAGTGTTATTTGCCTTGAAGGAGCTGAATTTTCTTTGGTCACACATACTTCATCCTGTATTTAATCCAAAAGCTATAGGATCATACCTACCAAAGGAAATATTAAATGAAATCCTCCTAGAAGCGGTAGTCTGGGTTCCTACTCCTTGTAAGGTACCAATTAAATAAGAAAAAAGAGTAAATAAACCTTCAAACTATTAGTGGTTCTGCAATCAACCCGATCCTGAAGTAAAATAATTTAATACTTTTTACCTGTTGATGCTGGTAAGATGATAACTTTCTCGTGAGAAATTACTTACCCCGATAGAAAAGTGTGCGAATGCTTTATTTCAATGGATCGATGATCATATTTGCAAGATCTTCCGACTCATGTGTATGATTGAAAAATTGCAATAGTTCTGGGGTGTATTTTCCCTTTTACTCAATAAATAATTACTTGAATGAGTCAATTCCTACTCCTAACTCCCAAATCCAAGTCCTATTCCGTGCACTATTCCTTGGTGGATTGTAATTTTTCATAAATTCTCCATTAAGCCAGTACTTTTGTATATTTAAAAGTGTATTTCATCATATTTTTGTTTTGTTTAGAGATTAAAAATGATATATACTCACACACACACACACCAGTGTACACAAGGTGTAGGTTGTAAATGAATTAACAAATAACTGGTTTCAATATCGCTTTTAACGATATACCACCTTCGTGTTGGAATAAATCCATAAATACTTTAATCTTCATATTGAAATTATCTAGAGAATTAACTGAGCGGAAGCGTACCTGACTCCACGGGAGATCACCTTTGGAGATCCGGGAGACGGAGGCTAGGGTTTGCGTCTTCTAGCTGATACATGCCCTCGGGAATTATCTCTCTAGCGATGGGATGCAGAAAGACGGAATGACGTGTACAACTAGGGACCATAACCCCTTATTTATAGAGAGTGCTTAACCCTAATCAGCCCATCATTGATTAGGTCAAGCCCATGGGTCTCTACACATTTGGGCCCTATACCTTATTAGATAACTTATTAGCCCACTTAAATTAATATCCATAGGACCACTAATTTTGGGCCTAAATATAAGATAGCATATAACATACAATTAAACCCGATAAATAATATATTGTGAATATTACATGTAGTATAAGTCCAATAATCTAACAATCTCCTACTTGGACGACATACACATGTATACACAATCCTCAGAATTGTATGTTTACTTTAGGAGCTCCAAAAT